AATGTCTCATTCTACAGGGAAGGACAGGCAGGTTTTCTGGCAGCTGGTATATCAGATCAGAGTCTCCTAACCTTGAGGTTTCTCTTTTGTGATGCACCTCCATTGCATGTGCAGCTAACACCTGGCTCTCATTACATCACCCTGTCGAATCTGGGAACTGACACAAAATATTGCTCTGGTTCCTACTACTGCTATAAGTAGTAAATTGTCTAAATCCATTTGGGTCAGTGGAAGCGGTGGAGTAAAGACCTCTGAAAATTCCTCCATAAAAGCAATGATGAAACTTCTCTTAAGCCAGAATCAGGGCTTTCCTAGTGGCGCAGTGGTTGAGAGTCCGCCTGCCGATGCAGGGGATGTGGGCTCATGCCCCGATCCGGGAAGATCCCACATGCTGCGGAGCGGCTGGGCCCATGAGCCATGGCCGCTGAGCCTGCACGTCCAGAGCCTGTGCTCCGCAACGGGAGAGGCCACAACAGTGAGAGACCCGCGTACAAAAAAAAAAAAAAAAAAAAGGCAGAATCAATCAAAATTTAACTCAGGTAAATAACCAAAAGTTTGTATTAACCTGGGAGTGTTTACTCAAGAATAATGGCTGAATATTAGTAAGAATAGTGAATTTTGTGGCATTTTAAAAATTGCCCTATTTGCCAAGCTCCCTTTCTCTAGCTCCATGGTAACCTTAAAACCAACAGCCTTTGATCACAGTGAAAACCAGCAGCCTGGCAGTCACTAGAGAGAGGAGAATGGGGTTGGAGCTCCTTAAAAGCTTCCTTCCCCAGAGAACTGTCATTGTTTGATTTGTCTGATAGTTCCTTGGAAAGCTCCATTTGCAAGGCTGTCCTTATTTGATGTGACTGGAGGCTCATCCAGTGAAAATGCTTTTTCCCTGAGGGCACTGTCAAAAATATTCAGAGGCTGGGGCTTCCCTGGTGGCGCAGTGGTTGAGAGTCTGCCTGCCGATGCAGGGGACAAGGGTTCGTGCCCCAGTCCGGGAGGATCCCACATGCCGTGGAGCGGCTGGGCTGGTGAGCCATGGCCGCTGGGCCTGCGTGTCCGGAGCCTGTGCTCCGCAGCGGGAGGGGCCACAGCGGTAAGAGGCCTGCGAAACGCAAAAAAAAAAAAATATATATATATATATATATATATATATATATGTATGTATGTATATATATATATATATATATATATATATATATATATATATATATATATATATATATATATATATTCAGAGGCGATTGTTTACCTTCACAGCTGCCTGATATGGTAGGCAAACCATAGGCTAACCGAAAAGCTTAAACGGAAAAGCTGGAAAATGAGAAGTCCACAGGAGTTTTGAAAAGCTCTGACACAGTCCTGGGAATCTAGAAGGCCACATGCATGCTCAGGGCTGTGTGCATGCTCAGGAAAGACCTGAGAAGGCCCTACGCTTTCACCCCCGGATGACCCTGAAGCTCTCTGCAAGCAGGAAGTGAAGGCTGAGGCAGAGCGGTCAGTTGCCTTGCTGAGTGCTAAAGGCATGGCACAACATGCATGCAAAACCCCTCAGCAAAGACTGGGAGACTTACTGGTTCAGGCATTTAAAGAAGTCTCTGGCTAGTTATTAGCTGACCAGTAAGCTAACTGAGCAGAAACTTCAGTTTTCACACATGACAAAGAATACAGACGTTACAGAATTAGTTAGAAACAGACACTAGACAACACTAAGAACAACAAATACTGGGGGAGAGGAAGGAAATCTGATCTTCAAAGTTGCCACATTCTATTATTTAAAATGTCCAGTTTTCAACAGAAGATCACAAGACATGAAAAGAAACAAGAAAGTATCTCTCTCTCTCACCCTCCCCCCCACACAAGTCAACAGATTATTGTTGAGGAAGCCAAGACACTCGGTTTACTAGATAAAGATTTCAAATCAGCTATTTTAAATATCTTCAAAGAACTATAAAGGAAATCATATCAAAGAACTAAAGCAAAGTAAATGAGAATGCTGTCTTGCTAAACAGAGAGTATCCATGAAGATACAGAAATTATTTTTCAAAAGAACCAAATAGAAAGTCTGCAGCTGGAAAAATAAAAAGACTGCAGCTGAAAAATACAATAAGTGAAATGAAAAATTCACTAGAGGCTCAGCAGCAGATGTGAGCAGGCAGGAGAAAGAATCAGCAGACTTGAAGATAGATCAATTGAAATTATCTTGTCTAAGGAACAGAAAGAAAAAGGAGTGAATAAAATGAACAGAGCCTCAGAGACATGTAGCGCACCATAATTTCTCAAGAGTACCTAAAGGAAAAGAGCTCCTTCTTTGAGACCAGTATGAAGATCCAGTCACGCTCACAGTCTCCAAGGTCCATGGCCAGCCAACAATCGCACAGGAAATGCCATTTCCTTTTACCTGCCATGTCAGTGACAATGTACATACCTATAGTAAAATAAAGACAATCTTGTTAGGGAGGTGGGCATGAATCAGTTGCTGTAATAACAAGTAATCTTAGGGAAACAACCTAAATGTCCACTGATGGCTGAATGGATAAAGAAAATGTGGTATATGCACAAATGGAATATCATTCAGCTATAAAAAAGAATGACATTTTGCCATTTGCGACAACGTGAATAGAGGGCATTATGCTAAGTGAAATAAGTCAGATAGAGAAAGACAAATAAATACTGTATGATCTCACTTAGATGTCGAATGTAAAAACAAAGCAAAACACAAACGAAAAACCAAAACCAGGGATATCCCTGGTGGTCCAGTGGGTAAGATGCAGGGGGCCCAGGTTCAATCCTTGGTCGGGGAACTAGATCCCATCTGCTGCAACTAAGAAGTCTGCATACTGCAACTAAGAACCAGTGCAGCCAAAAATAAATAAATAAACAACACACCAGAGATCATCAAATAGGTTTAAAGAAAAAAAAAAAACAAAACCAGAACGGAGCTCATAGATACAGAGAACAGATTAGTGGTTGCCAGAGGTGGGGTGTGAAGGGCTGGGTGAACCAGGGGAAGGGAGTCAAAAGGTACAAACTTCCAGTTATAAAATTATCAAGTCATGGGGATGTAATGTACAGCATGGTGACTATAGTTAATAATATTGTGTTGCATATTTGAAAGTTGCTACAAGAGTAGATCTTAAGAGCTTTCAGCACAAGAAAAACAAAATTCTGTTAACTATGTATGGTGACAGTTGTTAACTAGACTTATGGTGGTGGTCATTTCACAATATATACAAACCTCGAATTATTATGTTGTAGACCTGAAACTAATATAAAGTTGTATGTCAATTATACTGCAATAAAAATTAATTTAAAAAAGAAGTAATTTTTCACTGACAGTGAGTGCCCAAGTAAATGGATTCTGTTTCATCATGGGGCAAGAACTAAAGAAAGAAACCAGAGCTGATCCCGTTTTTTCCTTCCCAGCCTCTAAGGGAGTTCATGTACCAAACACCAGAATGCAGACTTCCATAACCTAGGAATAGTTCAGTGTTTGTTTGTATTCCTTAAGTTTTCTTGTTCCACATGTGACAGTGCCCTGCCACCTCTGTAAGCATCCTATCTGCCTCTATCTTTAATTACCAGGGTCTGAGGGGGTGTCTTTGGGGGGTGAGGTGAGGAGTGGTCTTTAACGTTTATATTAATGACTTGTCCTATTTGGGTCTGAGGCTTCGTCTTGGCTTCAGAGCCACAGGCCCTGAAGCTGCATCCTCTTTCCAACCACAGTGTTTTACCATGTGTCCACCTTCTCCCCTAATTTCAACCATCAACGAATTTGTCCTCGGGGACCCCTAGTCGTTCAGCCTGTTTGACTTCATCTGTACCTGGTCAGCTAATCTCGTCCTTTACTGTAAGGATGCTACTTACCCAAGAGTCTATATGAAACCATTCAAATCTCTCTGGTCAAAAGTCTTGCTTAATTTTAGTTGGAAATTATTTTCTGTGCAAGGAGTACAGATTGCTTTAAAGCTAAAATATTTCTGCGACTCTCTTACTGAGGCAGTTTATAAAATCACAGGTGACTAAGTTGCATTTGATTTAAACTTAGCTACTGCTAGATGGCGGAGTCGAAGGATGTGCGCTCACTCCCTCTTGCGAGGAATCACAACTAACTGCTGAACAATCATCGACAGGAAGACACTGGAACTCACCGAAAAAGATACCCCACATCCAAAGACAAAGGAGAAGCCACAGTGAGACGGCAGGAGGGGCGCGATCACAATAAAATCAAAACCCATAACTGATGGGTGGGTGACTCAGACTGGAGAACACTTATACCACAGAAGTCCACCCACTGGAGTGAAGGTTCTGAGCCTCATGTCAGGCTTCCCAACCTGGGGGGTCCGGCAACAGGAGAAGAAATTCCTAGAGTATCAGACTTTGAAAACTAGTGGGATTTAATTGCAGGACTTTGACAGGACTGGGGGAAACAGAGACTCCACTCTTAGAGGGCACACACAAAGTAATGTGCGCATCGGGACCCAGGGAAAGGAGCAGTGACTCCATAGGAGACTGAGCCAGACCCACCTGCTAGTGTTGGAGGGTCTCCTGCAGAGTCGGGGGGTGGCTGTGTCTCACCGTGAGGACATGGACACTGGCAGCAGAAGTTCTGGGAAGTACTCCTTGGCGTGAGCCCTCCCAGAGTCCGCCATTAGCCCCACCAAAGAGCCCAGGTAGGCTCCAGTGTTGGGTTGCCTCAGGCCAAACAACCAACAGGGAGGGAACTCAGCCCCACCCATCAGCAGACAAGTGGATAAAGTTTTACTGAGCTCTGCCCACCTGAGCAACAGCCAGCTCTACCCACCACCAGTCCCTCCCATCAGGAAACTTGCACAAGCCTCTTAGATAGCCTCATCCACCAGAGAGCAGACAGCAGAAGCAAGAAGAACTACAATCCTGCAGTCTGTGGAATGAAAACCACATTCACAGAAAGATAAATTTAGCTACTGTTAAAGCTTTCATTTAAGAGCAAAGTATAAAAAAGGAGAAAATACTCATTTTCTGATTGGTGAGAAACTCGTCACGGGTTTTTTTGTGCTTTTATTCTCTTATTCTTTCATACAGAAGAGAAACAGAGACTCTAATGTGTGTTAGAAAAATCTAGTTAATGCATTCAGTATGACCAGTAGAAAGATATAGAAAGCATTATCATTTCCTAAGAAAAAATGCTGGCCGTCTGTTTTTTTATTGGGGGTGGGTAGTTCTTTTGCTTTTCTGTGTTTTCCAAGTTTTTTGCATTCAAACAGCTATTACTTTTGCAATTAAAGAAAGAAAAGCAAATGTTGACTAAAGAAAGTCTTCAAAAGAGCCTTAATAACAAGCTGATAAGAAGCTCTAGAGGTGAACAGGTAACTGAGAATTTAATTGTAACTAATATTGTTACAATATTGACTGTAATTACCAATTGTAACAAGTATTTATTGAGTCCTACTATAATTTTGGCACTGTATGAGCTTTTTTTTTTTTTTTTTTTTGCGGTACGCGGGCCTCTCACTGCTGTGGCCTCTCCCGTTGCGGAACGCAGGCTCCGGACGCGCAGGCTCAGCCGCCATGGCTCCCGGGCCCAGCCGCTTCGCGGCATGTGGGTTCCTCCGGGACCGTCACTTTTCTGAAATCTCTCATGGTCTTTAATTTGCCTCTTACATGAAATTACAACTTTTTTTTTTTTCTTTTTGCGGTACGCGGGCCTCTCACTGTTGTGGCCTCTCAAGTTGCGGAGCACAGGCTCCGGACGCGCAGGCTCAGCGGCCATGGCTCACGGGCCCAGCCGCTCCGCGGCATATGGGATCTGCCCGGACCGGGGCACGAACCCGTGTCCCCTGCATCGGCAGGCAGACTCTCAACCACTGCGCCACCAGGGAAGCCCCTGTAAGAGCTTTTGAGAATACAAATATGAATAAGACAGCATCTCTATCCCTGAGGAGCATAAAGTCATTATGAGTTAAAAAAAATATAATTAAAGACCACATATAAAATTAGAATTGATATAAACCAGTGATAAGAGTAAGAAAAGTGGAAAACATTATATAGGTGTGAATTCCTTTAAGTGTTTCCTCTAAGAGAAATAGTTTTTTAAAAAAAAAAAAACAAAGGTGTATTTCTTCATGTTACGTGCATATCATGGGTTAATTGGTGGTGGGAGGGGTTCTTGATGGTGTGGTTCTGCCCATTGCAGTTACTTAGGGACTCAGAACGACAAAGCAACCATGTGGCACCTGTTTACAACTCTCTTGACGGAATTATATGGCACCATCCACGAAAAATAGCTACTTAAATTAAAAAATGTACTTGCAATAATTATAAAATAATACACATTTACTGTTAAAAAATTTTGGAAATACCTAAAAGTACCCTGAAGAAAAACTTAAAAATTCATAATCCTACTACCCAGCAATAACTATTGGTAATAATTTAGTGTATATAGCGCTAGACTTTTTCCTATACACATACTTTAAAAAAAAATCAACTTTGTTGTGGTATAATTTACATATGATAAAGGGCACCCATTTAAAATGTACAAAATTCAATGCATTTTGACAAATGTATACACTTGTGTACTAAGCACCACCATCATCACCCTGAAAAGTTCCCTTGTGCCTTTTCCAGTCAGCCCCCCTCAGGCTCACCCTTGGCTTCAGGTGACCACTGATCTGCTTTTTGTCTCTATAATTTGCTTTTTTTAGAATTTCATATATGTGGAATCGTACAGTATGTCTCCTTCTGTGTCTGGCTTCTTTTGCTCAGCATAATGTTTGAGATTCATCCACATTGCTGTGTGTCTCAGCAGATTGCTCTTTTTGGTTGTGAGCAGTATTCCATCGAATGAACATACTAACATTTGTTTATTCATTCACCTGATGGACATGTGTTGTTTCCAGTTTGGGGCCATTATTCATAAAGCTGCTATGAACATGTGTCGGAATGGACACATGTTTTCATTTACCTTGGGTAAATAACTAGGAGTGGAATTTCTGGGTCATATGGTCAATGTATGTTTAACCTTACAAGAAACTGCCAAACTGTCCTCCACCACAGCTGTACCATTTTTTTTTTTTTTTTTTTTTT